TTTCATTGACATGTTAGGAGGTTTATTTGAATGAAACCCATCCTGACTTCAGAGCAGATTCACAGCGTTAGTGAACATCTCCTTCACAAGGGAGTTTAATGATCATTTCGGAGGTCGTTTTATTGTTCATTTGAGAGATAACAGTCTCTTCTCCGTTGATAACGAAGAGTCAAATGTTCAAAGTGACTCTCATCTCCACTTTTCATTGAGCACGTTTATAGATTTTTTTTTATATATTTAAATAAGATCCAGCAGCAGTGGAGGCGACCACTTCAGAGGAGATCTCCATAAAGACCTCCAGCCTCACAGCGTGGACTTTAATCCGTATTTCTGGGCTGTTTTTCAGCGTTAATTTGATGGATGACGGAGGAAGCAGACAGGAAATGGCTTCTGTTTCTGTGAGTCTTACAGGGAGGATGTGTCAGAAACATTTGCACTGAAGACTTTACCCAGTATGACAGTTTGTATATCAATAACAGCCCCTACGTTACCATGAATTATGTTGGATTTAACCAAAAGTAGGAGTAAGAGATCCTCCTTTTACCATTTAGTGTCTCTTTTTTATTGGTATGTGTCCTCCTGGTTTTGTTGGGTCCGTTTGTGTGACTCTTTGTTGTGTCTTTGGGTCTCTTCTCTCTTAAGAGTTCTTTTTGGGGGGTATTTGTCGTCTCATTGAGATTTCCCTTGACAACGTGTTGTCAGAAACTTGGCAGATTACACCTAGAGGTGTTCGAGGGGTTTCAGGTGCTGACCGTCAACCACAACGTCTACAGGAAGTTTCATTTTGTCCCCCATCGTCCTCGCTTCCTGTTATTTCCTTACTGAAGACTTTAATAATAATAATAATAATTCATTTATTTTATATAGGCGCCTTTCAAGGCTCTCAAGGTCGGCGTACAAACACATAAAAAACAAGATACACAATACCTAACACCAGCATAAGAAACATAAACAAGACAATGCAACAGATCAAATCAATAAAACAGAGGATGTGTGATGGATAATGATCAGGGTGGATATGCGAGTGTGAAGAGATATGTTTTGAGGCGTGATTTGAAAATGGGGAGAGAGTCAGTGTTGCGGATGTCAGGTGGGAGGGAGTTCCAGAGGCGGGGTGCAGAGCGGCTGAAGGCTCTAGACCCCATGGTGGTTAGACGGGAGGGGGGTGCAGTGAGGCTGAGGGAAGCAGAAGACCTGAGTGTGCGGATGGGCGTGTTGATGTGCAGGAGGTCGGAGAGGTACAGAGGAGTGAGGTTATGGATGGCCTTAAAGGCGAGGAGCAGAATCTTAAAAACCAAATGGGATTTGACGGGAGCCAGTGAAGTTGCTGAAGAACAGGAGTGATGTGGTTACCCACGGTATGACCGATTGTATATCAAGAACACCCCCTGTGTTACCTTGCATTATGTTGGACTCAACCAAAAGAGGGTCCGTGTCTCTTTTGTATTGGTTTGTGTCATCCTGGTCTTTTTGGGTCAGTTCTCTTTGTGGTTTTACGGTTCCTTTTTTTGGTATCTTCCCAAGACTTGTCAGATTAGAGGATAAACCTGGAGGTGTTCGAGGGGTTTCAGGTGCTGACATTGAACCACAATGTCTACAGGAAGTTTGGTTTCATTTGGTTTCATTTCATTATGTTATTTCCTTACTTAGACGATATTTCAATCCTATATATTTTAAATGCACATATTATTTTCTAGTATTTGTCTTCATGTTTTGTTTAATTTTCTTAATATTTGTATTGTACGTTTGTACAATTTAACTCCTGTTTTTCTTGTACATGTCTTTATAGTATTTAAATATATATATATAATAACACATTTGTATTATATAGTGAAGTCATTTAACTTTATTCATTTTCCATGGACATATTTTCTATAATTTATTTGTAATAATTCCTCTTATTGTTTCTTATTGTCTTTTTTTGTTGTTGAATTTTTCTGGATTTTTTTTGTTTCTTGATATTCGCAATATTTGTTGGCTTTTTTAGTATTTTTATGCACTAAAGCAAAGTGAAAACACACTTGTTTCTCTTTCAAAGGTTAACATATCGTGGTATTTTCCAACCATGGCTGTGGCTGCATTAAGATAGTTATTATAAATGTTATTTCATTTGAATCTCAGAGGTACTTTCTCTGTGTTGAACCTCAGCGTGTGACTAACAGCACGTTATTATCTCTGGATCCTCAATAACGCTCGCTGTGTTTCTGTTTTAAAACGCCGACGCTGTCTGCCTCCTTCAGACTCTTTTACTGCGTGGTGCAGAAACTAGATCCAGACCTCAACAAGAAAAGGAGCTAACAAGTCGCACAGAAGCACAGAAGCACCTACTGTAACCTCCAGATGTTGGGATGTCTGGATAAATATAGACTCCACGTTCTGTCAACATCTCCCATTTTATTATAAACTCTCCGTCTAACGAGCAGAGAAGAAGCTGAAATAAACAGCCGGAGAAGACAAGAGTACACATCCTTTACTCAAGTAGAAGTACAGATACTCGTGTTTAAAAGTACTCTGGTGAAAGTAGAAGTACTGACCAAACTTCTTTACTCAAGTAAAAGTAAAGAAGTGTGGGCTTTGAAGTGTACTTCAGTACAAAATACCCATAACTACACCGAACAAAAATATAAACGCAACACTTTTGTTTTTGCTCCCATTTTTTATGAGATGAACTCAAAGATCTAAAACATTTTCTATAAACACAAAATAACCATTTCTCTCAAATATTGTTCAAAAATCTGAAAACATCTGTGATAGTGAGCACTTCTCCTTTGCCGAGATAATCCATCCCACCTCACAGGTGTGGCATATCAAGATGCTGATTAGACAGCATGATTATTGCACAGGTGTGCCTTAGGCTGGCCACAATAAAAGGCCACTCTGAAATGTGCAGTTTTGCTTTATTGGGGGGGTCTGGGGGGGGGGTCCGAAAACCAGTCAGTATCTGGTGTGAGGGGGTAGGGGTAGGGGTAGGGTTAGGGTAATGTTGTGAATCGAGTGGCCCATGGTGGTGGTGGGGTTATGGTATGGGCAGGCGTATGTAATGGACGACGAACACAGGCCACTCGATTCACAACATTACCCTACCCCTAACCCTACCCCTACCCCTACCCCTCACACCAGATACTGACTGGTTTTCGGACCCCCCCAGACCCCCCCAATAAAGCAAAACTGCACGTTTCAGAGTGGCCTTTTATTGTGGCCAGCCTAAGGCACACCTGTGCAATAATCATGCTGTCTAATCAGCATCTTGATATGCCACACCTGTGAGGTGGGATGGATTATCTCGGCAAAGGAGAAGTGCTCACTATCACAGACTTTTTCAGATTTGTGAACAATATTTGAGAGAAATGGTTATTTTGTGTTTATAGAAAATGTTTTAGATCTTTGAGTTCATCTCATGAAAAATGCGAGCAAAATCAAAAGTGTTGCATTTATATTTTTGTTCAGTGTATACATATATATATATTAGGGCTGTCAAACGATTACAATTTTTAATCAGATTAATCACAGCTTAAAAATTAATTAATCATGATTAATCACCATTCGAACTATTTCCAAAATATGCCATTTCTTTATGCATATTGTTGTGGGAATGGAAAGATAAATGAAAGAAGGCGGATATATCCATTTAACATACAGTATGTATGTTTATTATAAAAATGTTCTGTGTGTCAAAATGAAAGACAGCCCACACACCTATCAATCATCAAACCGTGGGGTCTTATTTCATTACGTGTTGATTTCTATCAACGGGGAAGTACTTCAGGAAAGTCGGGGGGGGGGGGGGCTAGTGGAGTACTTCGTGACCACAGAGTGTGAACGTTGTGATCAGCTGTTTTAGCGCAGTTCTCCAGTGAAGGGGGGGAGTCTCCCTCCGCAGCCGGGTGGCGTAGTTTTGGCACAATACCGTTGAACAGACCGACGTTAACAGCAGCCCTGTCTGTGCACACGGAGACCGACTCTGTCGTCCGGTGATCTAACCGCCTTCTGGAAAAGCTTCACAAGTACGTCGGTACGCAAATGCGCTTTGTGACACAAGTGACGGTACGCATTTCAGATTACGCATATAACCTGTGTACCAGTTATGTGCACCCCTGTACTACAGCAAAAGTATTCTCCGTCGGGACTTCCTGCAACAACACCACGCCGTTATCTTGATTCTGATTGGCTAGAAGACATTATCAAAGATGTTCTATTGAGAAGCCGATCACTACGTGAAAAACGTTTTCAAAACCGTTTCTGGTCTTCGGTATTTCCAGACAAGTGGCTACTGAAATCAATCTGACTGTCTGTGCAATTTACTCCGCGCGAGTTGGCGGACTTTATTTTGCTTCCTTTAACATCATTTTTCATGGTGGGGCTAAGCCATTTCTTGGTATGGGTGTAGCCCAGCCATACCCTGGCGGGATGTATGGGGCGGGCCATTCTGCACATGTGTTAAATGCCTTAAATATTTTTAACGCAATTAATTCAAAAAATTAATTACCGCCGTTAACGCGATAATTTTGACAGCATTAATATATATATATATATATATACAAATAAACACAATACAAGTACTCATAAGAGTCAAAAGGGGAGAGAAAAGAACATAATTCTGATGATCTGAGTGAAAGAAAACACAAATATGAGGACTCTGATTTAGGACTACCACATTATTTTGGGAACTTCCATTCATTTGCATGAGTTTAGCAGAGGAACAGGGAAATATAGTTTCAGGCTTTATGGTTATCTTAGTAAATTAAAGACATGTTAGCATTAAAATCTGTTTTCCCCATATCACGCTTTATATTTCGTATCAAAGTCCATCCAACAAACGTGACCTTTACCTAAACATAACCACGTAGTTTCGTCAGCTTAAACACAAACGTAAAAACTTGTTTTTTTAGCTTAACAAAACTGGGAGTTTATATCTCAACCTTGAAGAGCTGTTTAATAATGAAGGCCTCAACATTTCACCTAAGAGAAGATTTGGTGCCAATCCTCTCCTCACATTTCAGACCGAAGAGACCGAAGAGACCGACGAGACCGACGAGACCGAAGAGACCGAAGAGACCGACGAGACCGACGAGACCGAAGAGACCGAAGAGACCGACGAGACCGACGAGACCGACGAGACCGAAGAGACCGAAGAGACCGAAGAGATCGACGAGACCGACGAGCCCGACGAGACCGAAGAGACCGACGAGACCGAAGAGATCGACGAGACCGACGAGACCAAAGAGATCGACGAGACCGACGAGACCAAAGAGACCGAAGAGATCGACGAGACCGAAGAGACCGAAGAGACCGAAGAGACCGAAGAGGTCGACGAGACCGAAGAGACCGAAGAGACCGACGAGACCGAAGAGATCGACGAGACCGAAGAGACCGAAGAGACCGACGAGACCGAAGAGGTCGACGAGACCGAAGAGACCGAAGAGACCGAAGAGACCGAAGAGACCGAAGAGGTCGACGAGACCGAAGAGGTCGACGAGACCGAAGAGACCGAAGAGACCGACGAGACCGAAGAGACCGAAGAGACCGAAGAGACCGAAGAGGTCGACGAGACCGAAGAGGTCGACGAGACCGAAGAGACCGAAGAGGTCGACGAGACCGAAGAGGTCGACGAGACCGAAGAGACCGAAGAGACCGACGAGACCGAAGAGACCGAAGAGACCTTAACTCACTGTAACATCTTGGAAAATAAGAACAGCAGATAATAAGGTGAGTACCTCCATCCCTATTCTCCCCTTATCCGTGGTCGGGTCTCGGAGGTATCAGTTCCAGAAGAGAGCCCCAAACGTTCCTTTCCCCACATCAACCAGCTCTGACTGGGGAATCCCAAGGCGCTCCCAGGCCAGGTGGCATCCTAACTAGGTGCCCGAACCACCTCAACTGGCTCCTTTCGACGCGAAGGAGGAGCGGCTCAACTCCGAGTCCCTCCCGGATGACTGAACTTCTCATCTTATCCCTAAGGGAGACACCAGCCACCCTGCGGAGAAAACCCATCTCGGCCGCTTGTATCCGTGATCTCGTTCTTTCGGTCATGACCCATCCTGACTATTATTTGTTTCTGAAAAACATTTATTTTCTGCATAAATTTCAGTGTATTTATTTTTTATCTCAGAATGTTGGTTTAAATCCTAATCTTGAAAAAAAAAAATTGGATTTATTTTCTGTAAAATAACCTTTTTTTTCCTTCTGAAATAAAGTTCTTAGATTAAAGTCAGAACGCAGAATCTCAAAATCAAGAAATGATCTTTCTCCTCCAGAATCATACATCTTTTCAGATGTGGTTTATCTCTGCTGCTGTCAGGACTTTAGAGCTTGTAAAAAGTAGACACCACTCACTTACCAAACATAACAAATGGCTGATTTGCAGAGCTCATTAAACGCCTCTCACTGACTCTAATGCTCTACAGAGACTGAAGCTCTCATTTATCCTCTCAGAGTGATTTGCTGCTGACAGCCGCGGTCAGCCGTCTGCCGTCCGTCTCCCGGTTTAATTCCCCTCATCGCTCCTCTCTAAGCGTCTGAACGCCACACCCTGCGGCCGAGTCATTGTGTGAAACCTGATTTAATCAGAGGGCGACAAACAGCCCGCCCTCCAGGGAGAAACAGTCACTTTTTCCCCCAAAGAAACGTAATCACTGACTCTACCTTCAGACGGTGGAAAACCAACGGTCAAGGTTAGTTTATTTGTAAAGCACATTTTAGACACAGAGGCAATTCAAAGTGCTTCACATATAGGCATTTAACACATAATAATTAAAAATACAACAAACAAAAAAATGCAATTCATAAAAGCGATAAAATACTGGTTGCAGCTAAAAGTGCAACGATAAGGCTCGGTTTAAGGATCTCGGGATAGAAAGCATTCAAAACCAACACACCTAATGACACCTGACTCACACCATATTTAATTTTGTCTTAATGTAGATTATTTAATTTCATATTCTGTTCTTGTACATATGATATTCTAAATATGGTCCCTCCTTCATTCTGCAGACTGTAAACAACAACAGCTTAATGACGCCTCTGTTAGTCACAGTCACACTCCTCTGGTTTGGAACGCCCCCCCTCGTGGAAACTGTGCATCACTGAGCGCTGACTCACCTGTTCACATACTGAGAGTGCTAACACCAGGTTACTCTCAGGTAGACCCAGACTCAGCCATACTATCATCCACAGACACATGGATCAATTTCCAGGCAGCCCATTGGTTCAATCTCATCCCATTAACCCGTTATATCACATGACCCGTACCCCTGCCATACTATCAACTATTGGGAAATAAGGGGATATTTTATAGTAGTTTCTTCCTGAATTGTCTATGTTTAAGTCAGTAGCAGAAGCGTTATCTTTTACACAGATTCTAACCTATTGCAACTGCTTGTAATCTACTTATTTCTGACTATTGCAACTGTTTGTTCATTGCTTTTATCCAACTATTGCACATGCTTATCCAACCAACTACTGAAACCATCTGACTGTTAACTTAGGCTAACTACTGAAACCATCTGACTGTTAACTTAGGCTAACTACTGAAATCATCTGACTGTTAACTTAGGTTAACTACTGAAACCATCTGACTGTTAACTTAGGCTAACTACTGAAACCATCTGACTGTTAACTTAGGCTAACTACTGAAATCATCTGACTGTTAACTTAGGCTAACTACTGAAACCATCTAACTGTTAACTTAGGCTAACTACTGAAACCATCTGACTGTTAACTTAGGCTAACTACTGAAACCATCTGACTGTTAACTTAGGTTAACTACTAAAACCATCTAACTGTTAACTTAGGCTAACTACTGAAATCATCTGACTGTTAACTTAGGCTAACTACTGAAACCATCTAACTGGTAACTTAGGCTAACTACTGAAACCATCTAACTGTTAACTTAGGCTAACTACTGAAACCATCTGACTGTTAACTTAGGGTAACTACTGAAACCATCTAACTGTTAACTTAGGCTAACTACTGAAATCATCTGACTGTTAACTTAGGCTAACTACTGAAACCATCTAACTGTTAACTTAGGCTAACTACTGAAACCATCTAACTATTAACTTAGGCTTACTACTGAAACCATCTAACTGTTAACTTAGGCTAACTACTGAAACCATCTAACTGTTAACTTAGGCTTACTACTGAAACCATCTAACTGTTAACTTAGGCTAACTACTGAAACCATCTGTCTGTTAACTTAGGCTAACTACTGAAACCGTCTAACTGTTAACTTAGGCTAACTACTGAAACCATCTGACTGTTAACTTAGGCTAACTACTGAAACCATCTGACTGTTAACTTAGGCTTACTACTGAAACCATCTAACTGTTAACTTAGGCTAACTACTGAAACCATCTAACTGTTAACTGAGGCTAACTATTGAAACCATCTGACTGTTAACTTAGGCTAACTACTGAAACCATCTGTCTGTTAACTTAGGCTAACTATTGAAACCATCTAACTGTTAACTTAGGCTAACTACTGAAACCATCTGTCTGTTAACTTAGGCTAACTACTGAAACCATCTGACTGTTAACTTAGGCTAACTACTGAAACCATCTGACTGTTAACTTAGGCTAACTATTGAAACCATCTAACTGTTAACTTAGGCTAACTACTGAAACCATCTAACTGTTAACTTAGGCTTACTATTGCAACCATCTAACTGTTAACTTAGGCTAACTACTGAAACCATCTGACTGTTAACTTAGGCTTACTACTGAAACCATCTGACTGTTAACTTAGGCTTACTACTGAAATCATCTAACTGTTAACTTAGGCTAACTACTGAAACCATCTGTCTGTTAACTTAGGCTAACTACTGAAACCATCTGTCTGTTAACTTAGGCTAACTATTGAAACCATCTAACTGTTAACTTAGGCTAACTACTGAAACCATCTGTCTGTTAACTTAGGCTAACTACTGAAACCATCTGACTGTTAACTTAGGCTAACTACTGAAACCATCTGACTGTTAACTTAGGCTAACTATTGAAACCATCTAACTGTTAACTTAGGCTAACTACTGAAACCATCTGACTGTTAACTTAGGCTAACTACTGAAATCATCTGACTGTTAACTTAGGCTAACTACTGAAACCATCTGACTGTTAACTTAGGCTAACTATTGAAACCATCTAACTGTTAACTTAGGTTAACTACTGAAACCATCTGTCTGTTAACTTAGGCTTACTACTGAAACCATCTGACTGTTAACTTAGGCTTACTACTGAAATCATCTAACTGTTAACTTAGGCTAACTACTGAATCCATCTGACTGTTAACTTAGGCTAACTACTGAAACCATCTAACTGTTAACTTAGGCTAACTACTGAAACCATCTGACTGTTGACTTAGGCTAACTACTGAAACCATCTGACTGTTAACTTAGGCTAACTACTGAAACCATCTGACTGTTAACTTAGGCTAACTACTGAAACCATCTGACTGTTAACTTAGGCTAACTATTGAAACCATCTAACTGTTAACTTAGGCTAACTACTGAAACCATCTGACTGTTAACTTAGGCTAACTATTGAAACCATCTAACTGTTAACTTAGGCTAACTACTGAAATCATCTGACTGTTAACTTAGGCTAACTACTGAAACCATCTAACTGTTAACTTAGGCTAACTACTGAAACCATCTGACTGTTAACTTAGGCTAACTATTGAAACCATCTAACTGTTAACTTAGGCTAACTACTGAAACCATCTAACTGTTAACTTAGGCTTACTATTGCAACCATCTAACTGTTAACTTAGGCTAACTACTGAAACCATCTGACTGTTAACTTAGGCTTACTACTGAAACCATCTGACTGTTAACTTAGGCTTACTACTGAAATCATCTAACTGTTAACTTAGGCTAACTACTGAATCCATCTGACTGTTAACTTAGGCTAACTACTGAAACCATCTGACTGTTAACTTAGGCTAACTACTGAAACCATCTGACTGTTAACTTAGGCTAACTACTGAAACCATCTGACTGTTAACTTAGGCTAACTACTGAAACCATCTGACTGTTAACTTAGGCTAACTACTGAAACCATCTAACTGTTAACTTAGGCTAACTACTGAAACCATCTGACTGTTAACTTAGGCTAACTACTGAAACCATCTGACTGTTAACTTAGGCTAACTACTGAAACCATCTGACTGTTAACTTAGGCTAACTACTGAAACCATCTGTCTGTTAACTTAGGCTTATTACTGAAACCATCTGTCTGTTAACATAGGCTAACTACTGAAACCATCTAACTGTTAACTTAGGCTAACTACTGAAACCATCTAACTGTTAACTTAGGCTAACTACTGAAACCATCTGACTGTTAACTTAGGCTTACTACTGAAACCATCTAACTGTTAACTTAGGCTAACTACTGAAACCATCTGACTGTTAACTTAGGCTTAGTATTGCAACCATCTGTCTGTTAACTTAGGCTAACTACTGAAACCATCTGACTGTTAACTTAGGCTTAGTATTGCAACCATCTGTCTGTTAACTTAGGCTAACTACTGAAACCATCTAACTGTTAACTTAGGCTAACTACTGAAACCATCTGACTGTTAACTTAGGCTAACTACTGAAACCATCTGACTGTTAACTTAGGCTTAGTATTGCAACCATCTGACTGTTAACTTAGGCTAACTACTGAAACCATCTAACTGTTAACTTAGGCTAACTACTGAAACCATCTAACTGTTAACTTAGGCTTACTACTTAAACCATCTAACTGTTAACTTAGGCTAACTACTGAAACCATCTGACTGTTAACTTAGGTTAACTACTGAAACCACCTGACTGTTAACTTAGGCTAACTACTGAAACCATCTAACTGTTAACTTAGGCTAACTACTGAATCCATCTGACTGTTAACTTAGGCTAACTACTTAAACCATCTGTCTGTTAACTTAGGCTAACTACTGAAACCATCTAACTGTTAACTTAGTCTTACTACTGAAACCATCTAACTGTTAACTTAGGCTAACTACTGAAACCATCTGACTGTTAACTTAGGCTAACTACTGAAACCATCTGACTGTTAACTTAGGCTAACTACTGAAACCATCTGACTGTTAACTTAGGCTAACTACTGAAACCATCTGACTGTTAACTTAGGCTAACTACTGAAACCATCTGACTGTTAACTTAGGCTTACTATTGCAACCATCTGTCTGTTAACTTAGGCTAACTATTGCAACCATCTAACTGTTAACTTAGGCTAACTACTGAAACCATCTAACTGTTAACTTAGGCTAACTATTGGAACCATCTAACTGTTAACTTAGGCTAACTACTGAAACCATCTAACTGTTAACTTAGGCTAACTATTGCAACCATCTAACTGTTAACTTAGGCTAACTACTGAAACCATCTGACTGTTAACTTAGGCTAACTACTGAAACCATCTGACTGTTAACTTAGGCTAACTACTGAAACCATCTAACTGTTAACTTAGGCTAACTACTGAAACCATCTAACTGTTAACTTAGGCTAACTACTGAATCCATCTGACTGTTAACTTAGGCTAACTACTGAAACCATCTAACTGTTAACTTAGGCTAACTACTGAAACCATCTAACTGTTAACTTAGGCTAACTACTGAATCCATCTGACTGTTAATTTAGGCTAACTACTGAAACCATCTAACTGTTAACTTAGGCTAACTACTGAAACCATCTAACTGTTAACTTAGGCTAACTACTGAAACCATCTAACTGTTAACTTAGGCTTACTACTGAAACCATCTAACTGTTAACTTAGGCTAACTACTGAAACCATCTGTCTGTTAACTTAGGCTAACTACTGAATCCATCTGACTGTTAACTTAGGCTAACTACTGAAACCATCTAACTGTTAACTTAGGCTAACTACTGAAACCATCTAACTGTTAACTTAGGCTAACTACTGAATCCATCTGACTGTTAACTTAGGCCAACTACTGAAACCATCTAACTGTTAACTTAGGCTAACTACTGAAACCATCTGACTGTAAACTTAGGCTAACTACTGAAACCATCTAACTGTTAACTTAGGCTAACTACTGAAACCATCTGACTGTTAACTTAGGCTAACTACTGAAACCATCTGACTGTTAACTTAGGCTAACTACTGAAACCATCTGACTGTTAACTTAGGCTAACTACTGAAACCATCTAACTGTTAACTTAGGCTAACTACTGAAACCATCTGACTGTTAACTTAGGCTAACTACTGAAACCATCTAACTGTTAACTTAGGCTAACTATTGCAACCATCTAACTGTTAACTTAGGCTAACTACTGAAACCATCTAACTGTTAACTTAGGCTTACTACTGAAACCATCTAACTGTTAACTTAGGCTAACTACTGAAACCATCTGTCTGTTAACTTAGGCTTACTACTGAAACCATCTAACTGTTAACTTAGGCTAACTACTGAAACCATCTGACTGTTAACTTAGGCTAACTACTGAAACCATCTGACTGTTAACTTAGGCTTACTACTGAAACCATCTAACTGTTAACTTAGGCTAACTACTGAAACCATCTGACTGTTAACTTAGGCTAACTACTGAAACCATCTGACTGTTAACTTAGGCTTACTACTGAAACCATCTAACTGTTAACTTAAGGTAACTACTGAAACCATCTAACTGTTAACTTAGGCTAACTACTGAAACCATCTAACTGTTAACTTAGGCTAACTACTGAAACCATCTGACTGTTAACTTAGGCTAACTACTGAAACCATCTGACTGTTAACTTAGGCTAACTACTGAAACCATCTAACTGTTAACTTAGGCTAACTACTGAAACCATCTAACTGTTAACTTAGGCTAACTACTGAAACCATCTAACTGTTAACTTAGGCTTACTACTGAAACCATCTAACTGTTAACTTAGGCTAACTACTGAAACCATCTGACTGTTAACTTAGGCTAACTACTGAAACCATCTGACTGTTAACTTAGGTTAACTACTAAAACCATCTGACTGTTAACTTAGGCTTACTATTGCAACCATCTGTCTGTTAACTTAGGCTTACTACTGAAACCATCTGACTGTTAACTTAGGCTAACCACTGAAACCATCTGACTGTTAACTTAGGCTAACTACTGAAACCATCTGACTGTTAACTTAGGCTAACCACTGAAACCATCTGACTGTTAACTTAGGCTAACTACTGAAACCATCTGACTGTTAACTTAGGCTAACTACTGAAACCATCTGACTGGTAACTTAGGCTAACTACTGAAACCATCTAACTGGTAACTTAGGCTAACTATTGCAACCATCTGTCTGGTAACTTAGGCTAACCACTGAAACCATCTGTCTGGTAACTTAGGCTAACTACTGAAACCATCTGACTGTTAACTTAGGCTTACTATTGCAACCATCTGTCTGGTAACTTAGGCTAACCACTGAAACCATCTGTCTGGTAACTTAGGCTAACTACTGAAACCACCTGACTGGTAACTTAGGCTAACTACTGAAACCACCTGACTGTTAACTTAGGCTAACTACTGAAACCACCTGACTGGTAACTTAGGCTAACTACTGAAACCACCTGACTGTTAACTTAGGCTTACTACTGAAACCATCTAACTGTTAACTTAGGCTTACTATTGCAACCATCTGTCTGGTAACTTAGGCTAACCACTGAAACCATCTGACTGTTAACTTAGGCTAACTACTGAAACCATCTAACTGTTAACTTAGGCTTACTATTGCAACCATCTGTCTGGTAACTTAGGCTAACCACTGAAACCATCTGTCTGGTAACTTAGGCTAACCACTGAAACCATCTGTCTGGTAACTTAGGCTAACTACTGAAACCACCTGACTGGTAACTTAGGCTAACTACTGAAACCACCTGACTGTTAACTTAGGCTAACTACTGAAACCACCTGACTGTTAACTTAGGCTAACTATTGCAACCATCTGTCCTTTATTTTTGGCTGAATAGAATAACTTTTAACTAAGTATTGCAAACGTTTGTCTATGACTTTAGGCTTACTATTGCAACTATTTTAGGCTAAATAGAAGAACTTTTATCCAACTTTGCAACCACGTGTCCTTTATTCTGGGATGCATGAGGTCACAAACAGCCCATCAGTCTCTCTTTAACTCTGGCAACACTATGGCGGTCCGACTTTGCTGAATTTTATTGCCGGTGACATTTCGTCGGGCCTTTCCATGTTTGGGTGGAGTTTACATTTCAGGAAACATGATTTTCGAGTGGAGTCATGCCGTGTTGTGAAATAAAGTAAAATGTTTGGCAGAGGATAATGTAATTAGGAGCGGGGGAGTTGTGGAAATGCAACCAATGTGAAGTTGCCATAATACGTCCGCAAACTCACGAGTATCCAGTCCTCGCTTTTACACATTTACCAGCTATTAAAAAGCCATTTATGTTCTTTTAAGGTGCCGAACCACAGCCTCTGGATCTGAGAGGCTTTAATGAAGAGAACACACTTTACCGCGGAGCAACGAGGTGCTGCAGAGTATATTATATTATACAATATATATAGACTATAGAAAGGTAGTAGATGTTATATTTGTATATACATGGGAGGATTAATGAACTGGTAACGGACCAGAGTGTCTGAGTCTTAGTAAACTACCAAAAATAGCAAAAATAGCAAAAATAGACTTCAAACATCCGCAAAAAGATGTTAAATGTTGAAAAAGAGACATTTTTATATACAGTCGATTATTCAGCATTTAGCAAGTCATTAAAACCTTCAATCATTTTAATATCGGCATGTTTTTTAATCCAAATATCATGTAATCTGTTCCTTTCTAACCCTTGTTTGTTTATATACAATTGTATCTGCACACACCTTACAAGAAACGAACATTAATACCAAGAATAAAATTTGGAAAATCCCTAAAAAATTCTCTGATAAAACTAAAATATTCTTAAAAAAATACAAGAAGCAAAAAAAATTGAGCAGAAAAACTAACAGTATAGAAGAAGAAACAATAAATACATAGAACATATTTTTATTTATTTATTTATCTCAAGGTGATGAAGGGGTAACTGGGTTCAGGAGTATTTAGCAACCTTCCTCCTCCTCTTCATCCTCTTCTTCCTCGTTAAGCTCGTTTATGTTTTACACACTCCTGTAAATGACTGAGAGGTTTCCTGAAGGCGAACAAACCAAACACACCCAGTGAGACGACGCCACCGCTAACACACACACGCACACATACACACACACACACACACACACATACACACACACACACACACACACACACACAGAAACACACGCACGCACACACACACACACACAAACATTTAAACCTGATTCAAAACAACACTACACATGTTGTGGAGGAGATTATTCTGCACACAGGATCTGAAACCACCAATAAAAACGAGTCGTCGGGCAGAAAAGATTTCATGTGTTTTTTAAGCTGTAAATTATAGAAATCAATTTAATTATTGCAACAAAAAAAGAAAAGTTTTGGAATACAGGAAATGTAGAAAATAAGAAAAATATAGATATCACAAAAAAAACATTATTATTTGTTTTAAATATAATTAAAACAAAGAATTTGTTTAAAAAAGTTTTGCAAAAAAAAGTTGAAAGTAAAATGTTGTCTGCAATGGGTTAATGGTTTTTCAGCTACCAGCATTTTTAAACATTTATTACTCGTAATTCGATTTAAATGTACAACGCATTTAGATATAAACCAGGCTCCAGCTGCATTAGAGCCCAGCAGCTTTAAAGTGAATCAAATGAAACTCTTCCTTCTGAGAAACCGTGGTCCAGAGGAACGTCTCACCTGCTGAACTCTGACTTTAATCCTCATATTTCACCGTGTTTACTTCAGGAGCACGTCCAGCTAACTTTATAAGTGCAGCTGATTGGATCCCGTTAACCCATTTCCTCAAGGCCTCGCCGAGGATTATGGGTAATTACGGGCTTTTACACTCCCTCCGTTCTGCAAACAAACTCTCAAAAAGATCCAGTTATTCATTCTGTTATGTAATGTTGTCACGGAGGTGATCTCTGGGCCCATAGATCTCGGCCTCCGTTACTGGTTGGAGAGCTTCATTGTGGTTGATTGTGTTCACCTGGTGCCCTGTGTTGTCTCCTCCCCCTCACCTGTGTCTTGTTGATTGATTAGTCTGTGGGTATTTAGGCTCTGTGTTTCCTGTTTGTGGTGTGTGGGAGGTCGCAACCCAGTCTCACATCTAAACGTGTAATAACTACGTTGGTCCACAGCGTAGGACGTAGTATTTCTACAAAAACGCCTCTGAAATTGTAAGATCTCTACGTTTTTGTTCACCATTCATTCCAATGTCTGCGTCTATGTCACGTGATCTTCAACTTTCTCCCTGCAGAAAAAAGAAACATGGCCGAACTTCGTTTTATTCTGGGTGGAAAATGCCTATTTTAAAGTTAGTTTGGCTTTAAAATGCGTTTTGATGTCATTTGATGCGAGAAATATGAGTTGTTATTTCAGATGATGTGTGCAGTGGATGTACATGATCTTTAGTTTGCTAGTTATTACGAAGATTACTTCAGGAAATTGTGTCTGTACAACGTTTTCATTGTTACCAAGGTGGTTGCTAGGGACGCTGCTATCGATATTATTTCTGTTATGTTGTGTAACTGTTTAATGGTGTTATCTTTATTGCTACCCCCTTCCCCGTCAATGTATAGTGTTGGTCCACAGCGAAAACATATTAGTTTAACAAAATCCACATCTAAAGATATGTTATGTTCCCCTGTGCAATTCTCTATTTACTCAACAATAACACATCATTATCCTTGTGTTTATTTATTTGTTTGATTAATAAACACAAGTTGGAGTCCGTCAGATAATCTGAAATAACAACTCATATTTCTCGCATGAAATGACATCAAAACGCATTTTAAAGCCAAACTAACTTTAAAATAGGCATTTTCCACCGAGTATAAAACGAAGTTCGGCCATGTTTTTTTTTCTGCAGGGAGAAAGTTGAAGATCACGTGACATAGACGCAGACATTGGAATGAATGGTGAACAAAAACGTAGGGATCTTACAATTTCAGAGGCGTTTTTGTAGAAATACTACGTCCTACGCTGTGGACCAAAGTAGTTATTACACGTTTAGATGTGAGACTGGGTTGGAGATCCTTGTGGCTGCTGACTGTGTTCAGGGAGGACAGTCATATTGAGGCTGGTGACTATGTGCACATGAGAAATAAATGCCCATACCGGGTTATAGTTGAACTCTCTGCCTCTGCCTCCTTGCTTGGACGGGCCGCTCAATAGACCTATCGCTAAGCCACGCCCCCTTTGAAAACTCGGACAAACAAAGCCGACCGTGAATGACTGTTGACAATGGCCGCGGGGGGAGTTCAAGTCAATGTTAGCAGTGGTGGTCACTACATTAAATCTATAACTATAACTGTCCTTGTTGGTCATCATGTTCACTGTTATGCACCTGGCTGACTGTTACGTTACCTTTTTTTGGTTGAGGGTCTGTGTCTTTTCGGAGCAGCACACACGAGAGCCCGGATGGGATCTGGATATTCCAGAGTTGGCTTCCCATCTCTGAAGTGCTTTGAGGTGAAAAGACAGTTAGCTAAAAACACCAGCTAACTAGCGAGGACGAAAAGTCAGACAGCAAACGTTGATGTTGATAACACTGTAGCTAGTTAGCTGGCTAACAAGTTGGCAGCTAACGTTAGTTAGCTGGGCTGGATATACGCTAGCTAGTTGGCAGTCAAAGTCAATCGTTAGCAAACTAATAGTTTGGTCTACGTTTCTAATACATGCCGTCAAATATTATGTCTTTATGAATTGACCTTACCTTTGAGCAATAATAAGTGTCCTTGGTAATTCTCTTCACATTCAGTTGTGTATGTGCTATGTGGTCGACGACACAGCATAATCCACCGCTTGCATTTGTTGAGTTTTCTTTTGGGCTTCGGAAAAGGTACGAAATATACTCCTCCATCCAGTCTTTTAGGGTACCTGGTGTCCGAATTACAGGTACCCCACGCACAGCGTTTCACCATCAGATATTAGCTAGATAATAAACATAGAAACTGAACTCTTCACAGTGGTTTCGATCACAGACGTCTGGTTTTGGTTTGATGCGCCCCACAAACGGCTTTTCTGGTGATGTCCGAGTTTTCTGCCAGGAGGGATTTTTGCTGTGATATGATTGGACAAATTCTATTTGGGGCGTGGTTTAGCGATAGGTCTATTGTCAGCTTCACAAATGTGCATTTTTTAATGTATTCTAGTGTATTGTTCGCGGTGGTGACGTGAAGTCATGTGACCGTGCTGTAGTTCCTTTATAGCCCAACATTAGCCTCCTCTAGCTTAGCGGTGGTGACGTGAAGTCATGTGACCGTGCTGTAGTTCCTTTATAGCCCAACATTAGCCTCCTTTAGCTTAGCGGTGGTGACGTGAAGTCATGTGACCGTGCTGTAGTTCCTTTATAGCCCAACATTAGCCACCTTTAGCTTAGCGGTGGTGACGTGAAGTCATGTGACCGTGCTGTAGTTCCTTTATAGCCCAACATTAGCCTCCTTTAGCTTAGCGGTGGTGACGTGAAGTCATGTGACTGTGCTGTAGTTCCTTTATAGCCCAACATTAGCCACATTTAGCTTAGCGGTGGTGACGTGAAGTCATGTGACTGTGCTGTAGTTCCTTTATAGCCCAACATTAGCCTCCTTTAGCTTAGCGGTGGTGACGTGAAGTCATGTGACCGTGCTGTAGTTCCTTTATAGCCCAACATGAGCCTCCTTTAACTTAGCGGTGGTGACGTGAAGTCATGTGACCGTGCTGTAGTTCCTTTATAGCCCAACATTAGCCACCTTTAGTTTAGCGGTGGTGACGTGAAGTCATGTGACCGTGCTGTAGTTCCTTTATAGCCCAAAATTAGCCTCCTTTAGCTTAGCGGTGGTGACGTGAAGTCATGTGACCGTGCTGTAGTTCCTTTATAGCCAAACATTAGCCTCCTTTAGCTTAGCGGTGGTGACGTGAAGTCATGTGACCGTGCTGTAGTTCCTTTATAGCCCAACATTAGCCACCTTTAGCTTAGCGGTGGTGACGTGAAGTCATATGACCGTGCTGTAGTTCCTTTATAGCCCAACATTAGCCTCCTTTAGCTTAGCGGTGGTGACGTGAAGTCATGTGACCGTGCTGTAGTTCCTTTATAGCCCAACATTAGCCATCTTTAGCTTAGCGGTGGTGACGTGAAGTCATGTGACCGTGCTGTAGTTCCTTTATAGCCCAATATTAGCCTCCTTTAGCTTAGCGGTGGTGACGTGAAGTCATGTGACCGTGTTGTAGTTCCTTTATAGCCCAACATTAGCCTCCTTTAGCTTAGCGGTGGTGACATGAAGTCATGTGACCGTGCTGTGGTTCCTTTATAGCCCAAAATTAGCCTCCCTAAGCTTAGCGGAGGTGACGTGAAGTCATGTGACCGTGCTGTAGTTCCTTTATAGCCCAACATTAGCCTCCTTTAGCTTAGCGGTGGTGACGTGAAGTCATGTGACCGTGCTGTAGTTCCTTTATAGCCCAACATTAGCCGCCTATAGCTTAGCGGTGGTGATGTGAAGTCATGTGACTGTGCTGTAGTTCCTTTATAGCCCAACATTAGCCTCCTTTAGCTTAGCGGTGGTGAAGTGAAGACATGTGACCGTGCTGTAGTTCCTTTAGCCTTACGTTAGCTTTTGGAAATATACCATTATAAAGATGAGAGCATGTTAGCGTGCTGGTGTAAAGATAAGACGGTTAAACGTCAGACAGAGCGTCTGCAGTGTGTGTGTTGCCTCTCCGGCAGGAATGTGTGTGTGTGTGTGTGTGTGTGTGTCTGTGCTCTGAAAAGTGGGCAGCCTTGAGATGTTTCCAGAAGCTCTGGTATGCATTATTGTGGGGAGACAGGATCAAGGCGCCTTTAATGGGACGTGACGTTTAACCCAGTTGTTGGTTACAGAAGTAAAGAAAGAGTCAATCTGATTTCTGAAGCATTTCAAACCCTCTTTTTTACTGCGGAAGACTTCATTAAAGTGCAGTAAAACCAGCAGTTTGTTAGACTGCAACCTGCAGACAGAGTGGGTAACTGTGTCAGGGCTTTTCAGGTTTTGGAAACACACCCAAGCGTCTGCAGAGCCAACCTCAACAAAGCAGCATCCAGCAGACAATATTTCACACTCAGAGAGAAGTGAGAGGCTTTCACCATCAAGAGTTCACTGGTTCCTGAGCCAAGCCAGGGCCTGGGCTTTATAAAGACAAACTGTTTCATATTATCAGAGTAGAAATGCTCTGTAAGAAAAGAGACCTAGGATATAAATCTGTTGTATTTCTAGATTGGTCCCTGAAGGCAGCATCTCTCTGATAATCTCCACATATTAACACCACTTTATGATTTCTGAAGTACAGAGCTAATGTTGGGCTATAAAGGAACTACAGCACGGTCACATGACTTCACGTCACCACCGCTAAGCTAAAGGAGGCTAATGTTGGGCTATAAAGGAACTACAGCACAGTCACATGACTTCACGTCACCACCGCTAAGCTAAAGGAGGCTAATGTTGGGCTATAAAGGAACTACAGCACGGTCACATGACTTCACGTCACCACCGCTAAGCTAAACGTGGCTAATGTTGGGCTATAAAGGAACTACAGCACGGTCACATGACTTCACGTCATCACCGCTAAGCTAAAGGAGGCTAATGTTGGGCTATAAAGGAACTACAGCACGGTCACATGACTTCACGTCACCACCGTTAAGCTAAAGGCGGCTAATGTTGGGCTATAAAGGAACTACAGCACGGTCACATGACTTCACGTCACCACCGTTAAAATAAAGGCGGCTAATGTTGGGTTATAAAGGAACTACAGCACGGTCACATGACTTCACGTCACCACCGTTAAGCTAAAGGCGGCTAATGTTGGGCTCTAAAGGAAATTATCAGGACTCAAACTGCTGACTCATATTAGGGTTTTAGGATTCATTTCTCTAGCTCTCTGTTATTTGCTCTAATAAAAGCTGATTAACTACAGTATTATTTTATATTATCGGTGCAGTTTACACTATTTTCAGTTGTTTTTACATCCATGAAATATGTCTAAGGCCATGAGACTGTGATCAGTTTACATTTCTGGACATAATTATCTATCCTTTATAAATGCATGAGTGGGTTTAAATGTATGTAAAAGTAGTTTGTCCTTAGACATATTAGTAACTGGAGGCTTCATCTAAATATACACTGAACAAAAATATAAACGCAACACTTTTGTTTTTGCTCCCATTTTTCATGAGATGAACTCAAAGATCTAAAACATTTTCTATAAACACAAAATAACCATTTCTCTCAAATATTGTTCACAAATCTGAAAAAATCTGTGATAGTGAGCACTTCTCCTTTGCCGAGATAATCCATCCCACCTCACAGGTGTGGCATATCAAGATGCTGATTAGACAGCATGATTCTTGCACAGGTGTGCCTTAGGCTGGCCACAATAAAAGGCCACTCTGAAACGTGCAGTTTTGCTTTATTGGGGGGGTCTGGGGGGGGTCCGAAAACCAGTCAGTATCTGGTGTGAGGGGTAGGGTTAGGGGTAGGGTTAGGGTAATGTTGTGAATCGAGTGGCCCATGGTGGTGGTGGGGTTATGGTATGGGCAGGCGTATGTAATGGACGACGAGCACAGGCCACTCGATTCACAACATTACCCTACCCCTAACCCTACCCCTACCCCTCACACCAGATACTGACTGGTTTTCGGACCCCCCCAATAAAGCAAAACTGCACGTTTCAGAGTGGCCTTTTATTGTGGCCAGCCTAAGGCACACCTGTGCAATAATCATGCTGTCTAATCAGCATCTTGATATGCCACACCTGTGAGGTGGGATGGATTATCTCGGCAAAGGAGAAGTGCTCACTATCACAGACTTTTTCAGATTTGTGAACAATATTTGAGAGAAATGGTTATTTCGTGTTTATAGAAAATGTTTTAGATCTTTGAGTAAATCTCATGAAAAATGGGAGCAAAAACAAAAGTGTTGCGTTTATATTTTTGTTCAGTGTAGTTTAGTGAGGCTTTAAATGATGACCATGTGACAAACATGAAAGGGATTAAATATAATCTGCACATCAGCACATTTTCAAACGGAGGCTCAACATATACCCCATTGATTCAGCAGCAGGACGGCAACACTGAGAGTTTAACATGGAGTTTAAATTCCTCACATAGAAGACGTGTTCAGCAGCATCTGGACCCCCCAGACATCAGAGGGGCTGCTGGGAAATCTGCCAGCTGGAGGCGGCAACAGCTTCTCAGGAGGTCTGAGAGACAGAGAAACTAAGAAGACTGGAAACTGTCCTGAAACTGTTCCGGTGAAAATGCAAAAAATCTGTGGCTAAATCAATGCATTGCAATGGAAAAGCTGCAAGGAGTGGGTGGAATGAAACGGCACCAATCCTCTGCACCCAGTTCAACTTTGACTGGATAATTCACATCGTTATCCAACAGGGCCGACTTTTGAGTCAAAATG